ACTGCCCAACCACCAGCCCCGTGCCCACCACTAGCCTTACCACCGTTATTACTACACATGCGTCATGCTGCACCAATACTTCTTCCACTCCTTTATCAACACCATGTTTCTGTAAAATTCGGGATGACATTTTTTCACCTGGTTAGTTTACTATTTTTATCAGTTTATATGTCTCATATTTAATGCTTTGTGATATTTTTACAGCATATTTTTTCTAATTTTCTTTTTAATATATTCACAAGCTTTACTCACATATTTTGCCGTTATTTATTGAGTTTTTTAACTGTTTTTTTAATCTTTTATTTTTCTTTGATTTCACTGCATTATCTTTTTTCTTCAGGTGATATTATTTACAACAGAGTGGATATTGTTGGATGTACATTTTACGCCATTTGTGGTCCAACATGCACAGTTGAACGACATACTGTACATTGTAACGGTACTACTCCTGTTACCAGTACTTCCCCTGAATGGTCTTCTGTAACAACATCAGTTCCTCTGCCTACAACTTCCAGAGGAGTTCCTTCTCACGGTTGTGTTTCTGGTACTTACCCTCCCCTACAGGTATATTCTTTCTGTTTTATGTTATCATTTTTGAAATAACATCAATTTCACATTGATACCAAAAAGGAGCAGTCTGTAGTCTTTAAACCTGATATATGTGCAGATTGACAGAATAAGTTTTGCTAGTGATGAGCAGTATATATGATATAAAATTTATATGTGCCTTCTTGATATGTTTTCTTCATACTGAGAAAGCAATCTACAATAATCTTTTCTAATGTCGTTTGTGCTAGTGAAACACTTTCTGATACACTTCATTGCATAAATAACAAATCTTCCTATTGAAATAATAAAGGAAGTTTCATTGTGCAGTTTGTTTCTTGACTAAACAGAAAAATTTAAGCTACTGTGGAGGCTTGTATCTGTTTCTATTCTCCTGCCCTCTTACCTGTACTTCTGTACATATTCCTTTTCTGTTTTTCTTTTTTTTGTCTTGATAGTCATGGTCTGTGCTGATATTGAAGTACAGTATATATAGGTAGTATGAAAGACATCAGTTCCCTTAACCTAAAACCTATCCCACCCAAACCTTAGAAGAGCTCCTTATGCAGAAGAAATAGATGGAATTAAGGTTCCCACTTCCTTTTGGCATAAAAATTTAATTGTGTAGAATATTGACAACCTTGTCAACCTATTAGTGAAGATTTTCATTTTAGTCTTTGCTTCAGTTTTGGAAAACAAAACATTTTCTGATCCTCCATATCATGGTCAGAATTATGAACACCTCTGGTCACCATTACAATTCATTAGTACCACAAATTGAAGTAACACATATTAATTTTCTTTTGCAACACCACCATTACTGGAAACAATACACCATTAAACTAAAAATATGAGTAAAGTTCATATCTGTTTGCAAACTCCTGTGATAGCAATTTTTATTCATTTTGCAGCCTGGACAGCGATACAAATTATCCAACTGTACAGAACTCATCTGTAAGGGAGACAACAAGGTGGAAGTAATTCCAACGCACTGCCCACCAGTAAAGGAAATTACCTGTGCGAACAAGTATCCAGCAATACTGGTACCTGATGAAAATGGATGCTGTTACCAATATGAGTGTCAATGTAAGCACCAGTAAATTAAGGAATAAACTTTTTTGAAAAAAGCAAAACTTTGCACAGATTATATGGGCATTGTGTTTTCTTATAGTTGCTCTGTAAATTGTAGTATATTCACTTCAGTTTCTAAATTCTTTCTTCTACATTAATTTTCATGTTAATCTTCTAAATATTTTCTCTCTATCAGGTGTGTGCAGTGGATGGGGTGATCCTCATTATATTACTTTTGATGGAACCTACTACACATTCCTTGAAAACTGCACTTATGTCCTGGTGAAACAGATTGTACCTAAATATGACAACTTCCGTGTTTACATTGACAATTATTACTGCAATGCAGAAGATGGACTTTCCTGCCCTAAATCCATTATTATTTTCTACAAATTTGCAGAAGTGGTGCTGACCCGTAAACTCATGAATGGTGTGATGACCAATGTGGTAAAATACTTATTTTTTATTTCTCTATTTTTGCAAAAAAAAATAAGTCCATAGATCTTACTGATTCTCATTTGAAATACAGTCTGTTAGAATAGAGGTTATCATTAGGAAAACAAAAGATCACACCAGCTTCTAAGACAAAATGTCATAAACAGCTTAGCACCATGCAGATATGAATATATTATGTGCATGCATATGTATATACAAGTAATACTAGGAAACAGACTAATACAGCTGATAGAGAAGACAGAAAGAATGCTTACACTGGTGTTTGATTCATGTTTCATGAAAACTAGCACATTGTGCCATTCACTTATGTAAACAAACACATTATGAAGAAACACAAATGCAAATCAGAAGCATTATTCCTCTGCCATGGTGAAGATGGGTATGTATCCCTTATCAGCTGGATGACTAGGAACTGCTTCCTCTGCATAAGGAACTTCAGGCACCAAACAAAGCCATGGTATGATTCTCCCTCCGATTCTCTGCTGCCAAGAGAGATATAGCCAAAGAAAAGGGGTGACTGGGGGTGTCACCTCACCTTCATGATCCTAAACTAGTGCTGGCAAGCCCATGAAAACGAAAAGTCAGTTCCACTGTTACACAGGGGAATTTATTAGTTGATTAGAGAACAGAGAGAGATGTGAGGAAAAGTTTGTCTCAATATGCACTCTCTCCCTGCAAAGCCATGCCAGGTTCTCCTTACCTATGGTCAGAAAGGCATGCTGAAACAATTAGTCCAGTGATTCCCTGTAAAAGAAAACTGCAACTGACAACTCTAATTCTTACTTTATCCCAATTCAATGAGAAGAAAGTTGCAGAATAATTCCTGAGAAAAAGTTATTAAGCAAATATGTCCACCTTCATTAGCTCATGTAAGATACAGGCTGCAAATGGAACATCTTAGATTAACAAATGACTGCTACTTAAAACTGGCACTTCTAGTGACTAGTAGGGACATCTACTTTGTTTTGAATTCAAACAACTCTTCCAATGGCCAAGTAACATGTAGTATAGGTACAGTGTGATTTTGCAGCAAAGTTATTACATAATAATGTCAGGAATATTTCTATAGTTAAAGAAAACTACCATTCATTTTCATATGAAAAATGTTTACAATAAACAAAATTATGAGGGATACAAAGAAAATACTTGGATTTAGAAGGCTGTGCATTAGCACAAAATCTGCACAAATCCAGTACATAGAGGCCACTTCAATTATTATCGCAATGTAGCAATATAGAAATACAAGCTGAGATATTAATGCATATATATGCTATTATTGCGATGCCAATGGGCATTGGATGTGATGGAGTTATGCATGATTAGGAAGATTAGAAAATACATTATTTAAAACAATCAGGCAGAAGCAGTGCTTATTCTGAAGTTGTGTTTTTTTTTAACCCTGCATTCAGATGTACTTCAACCAAAAGGTTGTCAAACCAGGCTTCAAAAAAGATGGCATTTTTTTCTCTACACTTGGCATCAACATGATTGTTGAAATACCAGAGATTGGTGCAACCATCACCTTTAGTGGGCTGATTTTCTCCATAAAACTCCCATACAGCAAATTTGGCAACAACACCGAAGGACAGTGTGGTAAGACAGATGCACTAATTTGAGGTGGGACTCTTTCC